ACTGTCGTAGGAAATTTCGTGAGATCAGGTCATGGCGTACGTGCACTTGGCCCGCGCAAACTACGAAAATGTGCAGAATGCAAAGTTCGTGCAAAAATTCATACACACTTTCGCAAGGATTGTCGCGAAGCTTCTTTCGAATTTTCGTTTCGCAAGGACTTACGCGAAGCTTCGTTCGAATTTTCGTTTCGCGGAACCTCTCTACTGAACCTTTCTTTAGCAACATGACGGCAACTGAAACAGCAACAGAGAAAGTACGGTACATGTACTCCACATTCTTGCAGGTACTACAAACAGATTGCAGATCGTAATTCTTGCTTTGGCGGCACGAAACTGTATTTGGGGCAGTGCAATCTCGGTGGTACTCACAAATCAAAACGCCCAGACTCTGGAGATTCTCCCCGATATGCGAATATATTTTGCAAACTCGGTCAATGGGTCCTTGAACCTTTCCCTCCAGATTGGGAACTGCCAACGATAGTATGCCACTGACCAGCGCATTACTTGTAACGTACTAATGTACAATGAATATGAGTATTTCGACAACACATCTAACATAAGCCTTACCATCAAGAAGGTGAACTCGCGTTCTTCGCACACTGTAGACAAGGGGCAAAGAGATAAAAATGAATCTAAATCCGAATAAGATCAGCACACATTTCCGTAAAATTTAGTGAAAGGGCTCACTGAGCATAATAAGCAAATGAATCGAAGGAAACTGGTCAACTCAGAGATCACCTGTCATCGAGTATTCCGTAAAAGGAGGCCTTGGCAGCGGAAAAGCTAAATTTAGAAAAGAGATCCTGTCAGCTTTTCAATTATTTTTTTGCATTCCGCCCAAAATCAGCACACTTTTCGTAAATGAAAGAGTAAACACAAGCAAATGAATCAAAGGGAACTGGTCAACTCACCTGTCATTGAGTAATATTCCGCGAAAGGAGGTCGCAGCAGCGCCGAAACGAAATAAGCCAGGCCAGGAGACGAAATATCCGAAACAGCTCATGCAAGAAGCAGTTCCAAAGAAGGAAGTTCCTCGTGCATGCACATCCGAAAAGGCAACAACAAAAAGTCTGCAATACACACGCATGCGGCCAGCCGGCCGCGCGATGGTAGGAGCCATGGAGCAGCTCCCTGGTCCAGGGCCAGGTACCGAGCATCTTACGTAGAAACTTACGTAGCTACGTAGACAGCGTGTCTGAATAGCGGTGTCGTTAGGTAGCGCCATGTGAACACAATAATAGAAAAGCTGACAGGATCGCTTTTCTAAATTTTCTTGGAGCGAGAAACATGCAAACGTTCGCAGTAATAGAGAGGTTCTGCACAACGAAAATTCGAACGAAGTTTCGCGACAGGCCTTGCGAAAATGTGTACGAATTTTCGCACGAAATTTGTGTTCTGCACATTTTCGTGGTTTGCACGCGCCAAGTGCACGTACGACATGACCCAATCTCACGAAACTTCCTACGAAAGTTCATTTCGCGTTCCCTGCAAGTTTCGCGTCCAAAGTTGCGAAAGTAAGTTCGTGCGAAGTTTCTCACTTCGTGACGTAGAGCGAAAGTTCGTACACATTTTCGTTTTGCAGAACCTCTCTAATTTCGCTCTTTGTGGACTGTTCGTGCGCGGTGAGCCACCCTCAATCCTCATGTTTGTGCTTGATCTCTACTCTTGGCTTGGTCCGCGGGTGCTAGCTTTCCTATACTTTTGGCAGCCCGTGTTGCTTCATCTCCGGAACCATCCCCGATCTCCTGCCTGCTCGTCTTCTCACTGCTCAGAGCCGGTTACATCAACGATGCCTTTTTGAATTTCAGGTGTTGATGCGCCAGATTACGGCACAAGCCAACCCGTTTGTCTGTGAGTCTCCGGCCATGGACAAGGTAGTCAAAGAGCTCTCGTCTCAGGCCATGACTCAGGGTGCCGTCACTCGCAACAACAAAATAATCGGATGAAGACCACTTCTCAAACAAGCGAGTGCACGCGAAAATTCCTGCGAGCGAAAAACATGCAAAACACAAATTTCGCGCGAACGTTCGCAATAGTTTTCGCAACCCGGAACGCGAAAATCATTGCGAACGTTCGCTCTGCAAAACCTCTCTGATGTACCTGGGATAAGTAGGATATTGACCCGCGTACTCGGGTGTTACCGTACCCTCATATCATCCCTCCTGCTTCGCAGTCGGGATGATATTCGGGAGGTAACACCCTCGTACTTGGGCAATACCCTATACGTAATCATCTAGTTTAGGGTCCCAAATTATTTCGCACTTTCCCAGTGTTCTCTGCACTTTCTGTGTACGTGAGAGCGTGCTTGAGTGTGTTTCGAAGTTTTGTGTCCTTAGTACTGAGTTGTTTCCTTTGACTTTGTGGTAATGGCTGGGCGTCCCGGTGCGCCGATACGGAATGCCGTCCCTCAGGGAGACATAATGATGCAATTTTGATGGAGCAGTGGACCGTGTTCATCCTTGTGCCGATCTTTTCCAGGACCCAACTTGGCCAACTCGAGTTCCTTGCCGCTCGGCGCTTTATCAGGAACGAAATGCTCTGTGACACATGTGGTGCGCGATGTGGCCTCACTAGGAGGCAGGAAAGCCACGATGGGTTTCGCTGGAGATGCAGACCTTGCCACTACTGTAAATATACAAATTTTCGGCAGCTATTTAATTTCGGCTATATTCGGCACCGACCCAAAACGCCTAAATTAAAACGCCGATGAAATTTTTCACAGCATCTGTCGCACTATACCATGCCCTCTACCCCACGCCGAAAATAAATCGCCGCCGAAATGTCAAAAATCGTGAAGTGCCGAAATTTTGCAGCGCCGAAATTTTGTATATTTACAGTATGTCAAGAGCATCCATACCAACAATGTCGAGAATATGTGGACGCGTGCAAAGTGCCAGCTCAACGCAACTTCGGCACGTCTCGCGAGTTGTTTCCAACCTACCTCTGCGAGTTCGTCTGGAGGCAAAGAGTTCGAGAGGAACGAAACACCTTCGGCTCCCTGCTCCGCAGCATTCATCAGCAGTACCCTGTCTGATCGGTTCTGATGAAAAAAATCCATATCAACAGCTACTGTGTTTTTGATCTCGATTTGCAAATTTCTGGGGTTGACACGCTCTCACGTACACAGAAAGTACATAGACAGTATAGTACACTGAACACTGGGAAAGTGCGAAATAATTTGGGACCCTAAACTAGATGATTACCGACACTAAGTCTTCGTTCACATCTTTGAGCTGCCTTGACAGCTCGTCAACCCGTTTGTTTAGGCGCGTCTCCCGATCAGCCGATTCCGAGACAAGTGCGGCCAATGTTTTCAGGATTTCTACTACAGATAACTCAATGCCCGGCAACGACGCCATCAGCCTCAGCTTCAATACGATGCGCACTAATGATGGTGAAAACTCGTTGCACCTGGTATCATACCTGCCAAATATCCCAATTGTTCGGGATTATCCCGCATTTTTTTCATGAACTACCGAGATCCCAAAATTCTTGTTGAAAATCCCAAAAATCACTGTACATGCACAAGTTTCAAGTGCAGATATTACCCTCGTTATACTTCAAGTGACTCACCTAGTTGTCCTTATTGAGTTATTGATTCTGTACCACCATAGCCGTGTTTGTAGACAGTAAAACCTGTAATGGTGACCACTCGGACATGGCGACCACTTGATAATGGCGACCACTTTCCCTTGTCACGGACACATTCACATTCAAAACAGCTCGGATAAGGCGACCCCTCGCCTAACGCGACCAACGACCACCCAGATGCGACCGCGTTGCACCCCCCTACAACTACATGTATAATGTACATGTACATGCACACATTGCACTGTGCACCACACATGTTAGATCTACACATCAGCGCAGGAAGTGTAGATGTATATGGTACATGCACACATTGCACTGTGTACCACACATGTTAGATCTACACATCAGCGCAGGAAGTGTAGATGTATATGGTACATGCACACATTGCACTGTGTACCACACGTGTTAGATCTACACATCAGCGCAGGAAGTGTAGATGTATATGGTACATGCACACATTGCACTGTGTACCACACATGTTAGATCTACACATCAGCGCAGGAAGTGTAGATGTATATGGTACATGCACACATTGCACTGTGTACCACACATGTTAGATCTACACATCAGCGCAGGAAGTGTAGATGTATATGGTGCATGCACGACACCTGACACGTCTGAGCCTGAGGTCCCCAGGCACGAGTCGTGATAGTACTTAGTAGCATACATGTAGGTGTGTGCAGTGAGAAGCACTCATCAAAACGATGTATTGCATGAAACATGTACATGTATAGTGAATATGTCTTATCTTGTAACAGAACTTTCAACTAAAGATACAAAAAGCACTGATTTGTACATATATGGGGTACACTCAATACAACATAAATGATCGACCTTTCAACTCGTTATAAGATAATTGAAAATCTCCAACATAGCTGTTCCTTGGATGCAAAGGATTATCCATATCTACAAATGCACAAATAGAAATTAGAATACGTTCTGTCTTTCTGTTTTATCCTATTTGTTTTGGCCTTGGTTGTGCATGGCCAGTATTATCTTATACTGAGGGTTTGGCACTTCAGGCACCTGGGCAAAGGGTCGTTATAACGAATTTTATGTACAATCGAATTCTGTTGTAACCTGACCTGTAAACAGTTGTACGGACCACGTTTCGCTAGGGCATTTCAGACTTGTATTAATTTTACTAACAGGACTAAGGAACTACCCAGACTTGTTATAACGAGGGAGAACCTGTGTTTAGGAAACAATGGATTTTGCTATTGCAAGGGAATACAATGGACTAACAATATCAACACTTCTTAGTAGGAGAAGAAAATGTCTGAACATCTAGATTTCCAGCACATGCTTTCTTGTCTGCTACTGTTGGTTATGTGATACACACAGAATAACAATTCTCCCGAACCTATTTATTTTTGATGTGTCTGTTACGTTGTTCTTGCTGGATGCAGAAGTCTCCAAAGCAACCTCGCTTGCTGCAGAAAGCTCGTGACTACTTGGATGAGGTCAAGGCCTCTCTAAGCAATCCATACTGCACAAGGAAAGAATTTGTTGCGGCATTCCAGAAGGTCATTTCCCAGAAGGCTGCTTCCGGAAGACAAAAATCTGTTGGAGCGCGTGTTGCAGAGAACATCAGTAGCTATCTTCGGATTCTGACAGCTTACGGATATGTAAGAAACTGTGTTCTAATGAAACCTACCCCACAAAGATTGCTTTGGCTTCAAAGGGGTGTTGAAGGGAACAGGGGGGGGGGGGGGAGGGGGGGTGGTGTGTAAAATGTACTGCAAGTACACTGTAGAACACATACAGAAACACACGGTACACACTGTACACACTGTACACACTGTACACACTGTACACATTGTACACACTGTACACACTGTACACACTGTACACACTGTACACACTGTACACACTGTACACACTGTACACACTGTACACACTGTACACACTGTACACACTGTACACACTGTACACACTGTACACACTGTACACACTGTACACACTGTACACACTGTACACACTGTACACACTGTACACACTGTACACACTGTACACACTGTACACACTATCGTCAATACATGTAGTAAAACAAAGAATACAGAACTAAGGACACACAGGTAGCAGAAGGACGTGGTCAGAGAATATGGACGAGTCCTCCTCTTTCTGCTCACAGCCAGCTTTAAACAATTGAAAAAATGCCCTTTTTTAGTCATGTCCATGCTGTGGTGGTAAGGCAACACATGCATTTTTATGTATGAGTGCTGCTGAGGGAAAAAGAAACATTGAAACGTTTCCATGCTACAGGTATACTAGTAAATGTAGAAAATAATTGTTTGATATTCACATACTGGTATTGAGTGTGCAGGTGTACCAATATGCAGGTTATGTGATTACATTATCAGTTGAAATGCTTTTTTCCATTACTGGCTCATGCGAAACTTTCGACTCTGTGTGTGTTTGTGTGTGTGTATGTGTGTGTGTGTATGTGTGTGTATGTGTGTGTGTGTGTATGTGTGTGTATGTGTGTGTGTGTCTTTCTGTGTGTCTGTTTGTATGTCTGTGTGTATGTGTGTCTGTGTATATGTCTGTGTGTGTCTTTTTGTCTGCCTGTCGGTCTGTCGGTCTGCCGTCCGTCCATCCGTCCATCCATCCGTCCATCCGTCCGTCCGTCCGTCTGTCCGTTTGTCCGTCCGTTCGTCTGTCCGTCCGCCCGTCCGTCCGCCCGCATGCCTGCCTGCCTGCCTGTCTGTATGTCTGTCTGTCTGTCTGTTTGCCGGTCGGTCTGTTTGCCTGTCTGTGTATCTGTCATTATGTGTATATGTTGTATGACTTTGGTTTCTGCTAAAGATCATCACATTCCCAGAGCTGGATGATCTGGTGGTTCATAGGCCTCGCTGGCTCCTGCAAGATGTCATCGGATTCATTTACTCTTCGCACGTTTTCCCATCCAAATCTAAAGGCGCGGGTAGAGTATTCAAGATCAGCGAGGACGACTTCATCCGTGCCCTGACTGCCTTTCCTGCAGTGGGTGAAAAAGCTCCACTCTGCGTGCACATGGTCTTGCAGCTCGGCTTGACCATTCGCCATGAGAAAGATCTCCTTGCACTCTCCCTGTTTCCTGAGTGCACACAGCCATTGAAGATGCACACAGCCTTCATGGTTGGCTCTGTCCACACCTGCAATGGTTGCGCACCGTTTTCCTCTGCACTCATTGTGCAATGCCAAGCACGTGTCTACGACTACTCCGCCTGCTTTTTCTCCAGCACTGATCCCATGTTCTTCAAGAACACCATCATTGTCCACCCGTATCCGCACACAACAGCGCTGATTGTGTTTTCGTCCGACCGTCAGCGCTGTTGTATTGCAGTGACGTCCAGTTGCAGTAGGTACCTGCAAGTCGTTCACCACGTCCACTGGTTATTTCAAGCTCTCTTCCTTGACCTACTTCAGAGATACAGTCGTGGTACTTCGGTAGAGCCCACAGTTCTCAGCCTGAGCAGCATGCGTCAGCTTATCCAGCAATCCGCTTCACCAGCTGCCATCTGTTCAGCAGTTGCTTCCCACTCGTCCGAAGACGTCGTCCTTGCCGCGAGCAGTATGCAAAGCAAAGATGTCAAGGACGCCAGCGGTGTGTTCGTTGACTCGGTGCAGGATCTTCATCACGTTCCTGCCACGCACATCACTATGCTTCCTGCCACATGTACTGATCGCCTGGAGAGTCTGCGAGATTCTTCATTCTTGCGCGATCTCCAGTCAAATGTAGACGTGAGTGACACCGAAATCAGCCGGCTCGGTGGCCTCCAATCAGTGTCGTCCGCTGGACCCAGTCGGCTGAATGCCTCGCTGGTGTTGTTGGCATGGTGCCGACAAAGTCATCGTCACACATCGACTGTGCTCTACAGCAGGTTAGCTCAGCACTGCTTTTCTTCGCCATTCGCGAACTTCTACCGAGAGATCGGCAGGATACTTGTCGAGAATGAGAACATGGTAAGCGGAATAAGAATTTTTAAAAGTTTTCAGTGACTATGAATCTCTGCTGTCAATATTCATAAACAATATTACAAAGTTGCTTG